ACAGCATGCCCATGTGGGCAACGTGCTGCATGGATTAGATCCAATCATAACTGATTCCGTAAGGACATGGGAATAAGATCGGCCGGTCGGTTGCTAGCCACAACCCGGATCTGATTGGTTTCATTCATTCAAAAAGATTAGCACGCGTGCCAGCTCGATCAACTCACTCGGTTGAGATGATCCAAAACATACTGTACTTAGCTGGTCATCATTTGAATATCGTGCGTGTGATCGTCGAGGCTGGGCCTGGGGACACAACTAACCACCATGGCCCTATCCGATCCTCTGACTGATGCTCACCTACAATCCATAGATTACGCGCATGATGATCCTAGCAATTTCTCCCCTCGTTTACAATAATTTCGGCCAGCATGATAATAATCCATCCTCTTTTTTTTTGCGAGCAGATAATAATCCACCCAATGCGCCGACATTTCATATACACACTAAAAAGGCGCTTCAAATGGTTTGAAGACTGGTCCGTCCCGGGTTCCTATAAGCCACTAGACTCAAAATATACTCCAGTCAGCCAAGCCGTACGTTTTTTTTGGAAAAGCGGCGCCGTTTATTAAAATAAAATAAGTCCAACAAAGGTGGCGCCGTTTTTTTTGGAAAAGCGGCGCCGTTTATTAAAATAAAATATACTCCAGAAAGATGCATACGGCCACATTTATTAAAATAAAATAGGTCCAACAAAGGTCTGTAACTCCGTTACACAATAGTCCCCTAACGGCTCACAAAGAGCAGCAAAGTAAAAGCCATAGCCGGCATGCAAAATAAAGATAAGAAAACTAATTGCTTACCCTATTACATGATCGCCATCCAAACCGGCTAAAAATAGCCCGAGCTACCATCTCCCATCGGGCAGATCCAGTAACCAAATGCTCCCTGGCCTCCGTCTGAGTGAGTAGCGACCACATACGGATTAGCGTGGTAGCTCGGAAGATGACCTGCAAAAAATGAGTATATGTTGTTCTGTTAAAAACCATATCATTCCTACAGTTGCAGACTGCCCAGAGTAAGGCACATACTCCTACACGAATGTGTTTAGCCGTTTGGGCCTCTGTCCCATCCAGCCACGTCCCAAATAACGTGTTGATATTATTCGGTGGAGTAATATTAAAAGCAATGTGAACAGTCCGCCAAAGAACCTTCGCCATAGGACAATCGAGGAAGAGGTGTTTGATATTCTCGTCTTGATCACAAAAGCTACATCTCTTAGAACCGGTCCAATTGCGCTTTGTCAAATTATCCTTGGTTAAAATAACTTGTTTATGAACAAACCACATAAACACTTTAACTCTCAGAGGGACCTTGACATTCCAAACATGCTTGGAGAGGGGAATAGAGCTAGAATTGATGACATCTAAGTACATCGATTTAACCGTGAACTCTCCACTCCTGGTTAATTTCCAGCTCAACGAATCCGGCCGTTGAGCAAGCTGCACATCCATTAGTCTTCTCACCAGATGTAGCCAGGCTTCCCAACGCGCTCCGACAACTGTTCTCCTAAATTGGATATTAAGGGGAGCGGTCCTAAGAACGGTTGCAACCAGAGCGTCTCTCCGTTGCACGACGTTATAAAGAGACGGATACTGTAGCGCGAGAGGGGTTTCCCATAGCCATGTATCCTCCCAGAATCTGGTATTGTTACCGTCTCCGATAATAAACTTTGTTCTGTTGAAAAAGACCGATTTAACTCTCATCAGCCCTTTCCAAAAAGGTGAGTCCGTCGGCCTCACTGTCACCTGTGATAAAGTTTTGGAACGAAGGTACTTGTTGCGCAGAATCTGCGCCCACGAGGCTTCCGACTCTACAGATAACTTGTACAGCCACTTGCTGAGAAGACATCTGTTTTTCACCTCATGATTTTCAATCCCAAGACCCCCTTGGTCTTTTGGTCGGCAAATAATATCCCATTTAGTGAGTCGATATTTCCTTTTGGAATCATCACTCTGCCAAAAGAAACGGGATCGATAGAATCCAGTCTTTTCCTAACTCCAACTGTTATCTCAAAAAACGACAAAAGAAACATAGGCATGCTCGTGAGGACCGAATTAATAAGAATTAACCGCCCCCCATAGGACATCGACTTGCCCTTCCAACAGCTTAGTTTCTTCTCGAATCGATCCTCAACACACTTCCACTCTCTATTTGTTAGCTTACGATGGTGAATTGGTATACCTAAATACGTAAAAGGTAAACTCCCAATTTCACACCCGAACAATTGCTTATAAGCCTCTTGTTCTTCTTTGGCTCTTCCAAAGCAGAACAATTCACTCTTGTGAAAGTTAATCTTTAAGCCCGTCAATTGTTCGAATAAGCATAACACCAGCTTCATGTTTCGCGCTTTTGTCAAGTCATGCTCCATGAAAAGTATAGTGTCATCAGCGTACTGTAGGATAGACACCCCTCCATCAACTAGATGAGGTACAAGGCCACCTACTTGGCCAGCATCATTTGCCCTACCTATTAGAATGGTCAACATGTCAGCTACGATGTTGAACAGAATAGGTGACATCGGATCTCCTTGTCTCAGGCCTTTATGTGTCTGAAAATAATGACCTATGTCATCATTCACTTTGATTCCAACACTCCCTTTCTGCGTGAAATATTCAACCTCCTTTCTCCAAGCTGGGTCGAAACCTTTCATGCGCAAAGCCTGTTGTAGGAACGGCCACTTAACTTTATCGATAACCTTTTTGCACTACACAAACTTGATTAGGACGCCGACTCATAATTAAGCTGAATCAGCAAGAAAAAATCGGCACGGCGACGGGGCATGGATTCAAGAGTCCCTGGCCTGCCGCTGCTCGTACAGCCAGGGTCAAATACACATGACATGATACTCCCAGCCCCAGAGGAGAAGGATCCTGCTTCTGCACATGATGTCGAAGTCGTAATCAAGTGTTGCTGGTGGCAGCTAATAATTTCCTTCGTAGTTTCAACGTTCCATTAATTTTTGCTGACACGGTGCTTGCGTGGAGAATATTCCCGGTCAGACCACACATGCGTGGGGACAAGACAGACACAACATACGACCAGCACGCAGCAGCAGGGGGTTTATTTTCCTCGGCCCATCTGTTCCACAGACCATACATACATCCGTGCGTGTGTTTCTTTTCCTCCACTAATTTTGGCACCGTCTGAAAGAACGAGCGAACAATTTAAAAGCAAACAGAGAAGGAGTATCACCAAAGTGGATAGGATAGGGTGCCTTGGTTTCCTCCACTTCGATTATAAAACGGAAGTTTCAGGGAGCATATATGTGAGCTGGCTGCTTACGCACGTCCCGCCTACCCCTATTTGTTTAACCAAGCATCCAACGAACGAATACTTCATTTGCGTCCAAAGTCTATCCCCGTGGAGTACGTATGTACAGATACAGTGGTGATGTGTTGTTTATCCCGGGACACAACAGTTTCCGCTTCCTTCAAACACGGGCGTACTCCTGACTCTGACTGACCGGTCGACTCGCAGGCAGTTGCTGCAATGCTACGTATCGACCCACGAGTATGGTGGACTGGTGGTATGACGGGCCTGCAAAATGTGGGCGAAAAGGACGTGCTATGTGATTTTCTAACCATTTGTTTTGTTTCCCTTCCGGATAACCCAAGCACGTCTTCCACTGAATTCCACGGGCCATTCGTCAACACCAAAAGTTCAGCCAGTCCACTCAGATTACTAGGAAGAAGAGAGAAAAGCAGCTACCGTTGGCGCACCTAATTAACCTTCGAGATTGCTCGGAAATGGTCTTGAAGCCAAATATCACCCTAAGGTTTTCCCCACAGATTGCGACAAAAAGATTGATTTCTCACAGGACAGGATAACGTAGTAAATACGTTGGCCCTTGGATTCACCGGGGCCGCGCATGTCGCTTGTGTCGTCCGTCGTCCATTCGATAATGTCAAAAAGCGGATGTGAATATACAAAGAGAAAACGACGGCCTACTTTCAAAAAAAGAAAGAAAAACGACGGCCTGGCCAGCCAGCCGTGACATATACTCATTTCACAAACGAAAAACAATGTGAATGCAATACCTAATCCTTTTCCCGGATCACGATCGAGTATGTCATCGGAAGCCTTAATAATGCATGCATTGTTATCATCAGTACATCAGGCTGCAGCTAGCCGCAAGATGCAGCTTGGCCGGCACGCACGCAGACGAAAATATCAAAACCTACTGCCGTCCAACACACACAGTACACACACACATACACAGAATAATTCCAAAAATATGCAAAGCACGCAGAATATTTCCGAAAATATCCAAAAGGAAATATCAACACCGGGAGAATATTCCAGATCGAGCGAGCGGCGTAGGTGTACCCCATGCCGGTGCGTAGCTATCCATCCTCCCGGGCGCCGCGTCGGACCGACGACGCGGGAAGGAGCACAACACCAATTTTGCCGCCACCATCCATCAGATCCTTCGTTACCATCAAGGCCAACAATTAAATGCCTGCAATTTTTCTTGCCCGTCACGACTCACGGTCCAATCAACGAGGATCACTGCCCGCAGTTAATCGCTTCTTAATGTGAAATCTTCGCCGGTTCAATTGTCTCGACCGACGATTGATCACCACGTCGCTCTCACATCGACGACAGTGGCGGCGACCCAGGCTAGATTAAGCAAAACCGGTCCACGATTCAACGCCTAGCTCGCCACCAACGAGCGCGCACGCAATTTGCGACCCATTCGTCGATCTCATTCACCTCTTAATTTAGCGGAACAACTGGGTTAAAATCAAATTAATTAACCAATGGAGCTCGTGGCAGGAACGAACAATGGTCGATCAGCTGCAGAGACAGCGGAGGAAAGGCAGGGGGAACCAAAATTTGATCGGAGGCACGCCTCTGATCCGCGTAACTAGAGCTAAGCTAAGCTAGTGGAGAGCCTCGTCGCTGTCTGCTACTATGTCAGCATTGCTCTTCTCCCGGCCGGCCGGACGGCGCAGGTCGTCGGCGCTGATGAATGAGTTTTCGGGCGGCGGGTCACGTCACATGACGGAGCACGAGTTGGGGTTCTCGTCGCTGAACATCTGCGGAGGCGGCGCCGTGTCGAAGTGGTAGGGCGGCGGGTACGACGGCTGGTACGCCTGGGGGTTGGGGTTCTCCTGCTGGTAGTAGCCGCCGCTGGGGTGGTGTTGCTGCTGGTAGTAGCCGCCGGCCTCTCTTGGTTGCTGGTAGTAGCCGCCGGATTCGCCGCCCGGGTGTTGCTGCTGGTAGTAGCCGCCGGAGTTCGCGCTGGGGTGCTGTTGTTGTTGGTAGTAGCCGCCGGCGCCGGCGTACCCCGCGCCGTCGGCATTGCCGCCATAGGGGCTGTAGTAGCTGGGCGGGGGGCCCTGCGGCTGCGGGTACGGGACTTGGCCGTACGGCGAGACGTGGTGCGTCCTCGCCTGGACCGGCGCGGGCGCCACGGACGCCGCGGCGGACGCCATGGACGGGCCCGTCACCTCGATGCCTTTCCCCTTGTCCTGGCTCATGACGACGTGGTCACCGCCCGCCGCTTTGTCCTTCTTCTTCTCGCCGTCGCCGGCGCCCTTGTCCTTCTTCTCGTCGCTGCCGCCCTTGTCCTTCTTGCCGGGCGCGACGGCCTCGACGGCGCGGTTGAGCTTCTCCGTGAGATACGCCACCATGGCGGGGACGTCCATGGTCCCCGTGACCTTCACCTCGTCCTTGGCATTGCCCTCCAGCTCCACATGCTTGACCCCTGGAAGAGACAAGACACACAGAACATCGTCAATTTCGAACGGAAGATACAAAATTAACAGCAGAACAAACCGCGAATTCGAAGAATTTAGAAGAAACCCAGCAAAACCGCACCTTTGATTTTGTAGATTCGGCGCCTGATGCGGTCGGCGCAGCCGTCGCAGTGGAGGCGGATCTTGAGCAGCACCGTGGTCTCCTGCGAAAGCAAAATCGAAGCGGAGACATTGTGAGCCGCAAGGTCGGTGGGACGGGCGTGGTGGTTGGGAGCAGAGTATTGCGTGGGGGTAGGATTTGCTGCTGCTTGTGTACCGACCTGGAGCTCCGTGGGTTTCTTCTCCTCTGTGTGGGTGGGCGGTTGCTTCTTCGCCGCGTCTTCCTCTTTGGGCGGCTGCGGCTTGGAGGAGCCGGGCTTATCCCCCTTGTCGGCTCCGCCGCCCCCCTTGTCGGGATTCTCCTTGTCGGGGCTCTTCTTCTCGGCCGCGGCGGGGGCTGCTGGGGGCTTGGCCGGGCCGGCGCCGGCGCCGGAGGAGACGATCTCGACGGGCTTCTTGGTGCGGGACTCGATCCTCGCCTTGAGCGCGGCCGCGTCGGCCGTCCCCGCCACGACGACCCTGTTCGACGCCGCGTCCGCCACCACCGCCTGCACGCCTGCGCGACAAGTCCAGACAAGCACACGAATCAGCCACCAGACTAACACAAAATGCAGAGAAGGGAGCACGGGAGCAGGGAAATTGGCGGCGGGATGGAGCGGGCGCGTACCAGGCATGCTCTTGATGCTGTTGCGGACCTTCTTGGCGCAGCCGGCGCAATGCAAGACCATCTTGAGCACGACCGGCGGCGGCGGCTCGGCGGCGCCGTCGACGCCGCCGGGAGCCTCCTTCCCCGCCCCCATAGAAACCGAGGAGGCTAGCTAGCTACGCTCTGTGGCTCTCCGAGGCTTCTGGACTCTTCTTCTCTAGCTCCTTCTCCGGGTCTCCTACACGTGTTGGCGCGAGCGAGCAGGGGAGCGTGGGTGTTTTGACGGCGCGGGCTCTGCGAGAAAAACCAAGCGGAACGAGAACGAAACAAAACGGCAGTGCGGCGCGGGCGGGGATAAATAGGCGGGGGGAAGGAAAGGTCCGGAGGTAGAAGGCAAGGCGGCGGGGCCCGCGCGTCAGGCGGTGCCGGCCGCCCGATCCGATCCACATCCGCGGTGCGCGTGGCGGTAAGTTTCTGCCCGCTGCTGCTGCTGCTGCTGCTGGCGGGTGGGGAGTGCGGGTTACGCCCGCTCACCTGGGACGTCATCACCGCGTTGAGTTGACCGGTGTTACCGTCGCGGCGGCTGGCAATGTCATGCCATGTAAAGGTGAACCCGTCATTGCGCTCCCTTTTCCTCCACCGATCGGATTGCCTGGCTATAGCTAGCCAAATCGTAGCGCACGCGCAATGGGGTGGCTTTCTGATTACAAAAGGGTTTTCTTTCCTTTTTCCAAAGTCTAAACACGGCGAGGGCTGTCCTTTTGGCCTTTACATTGTTTTCGTATAGACGTCATGACAGACGATCTTGAATTTTGATTCAACTTCTATACATGTTTGCGTGTCACTGAACGATAGGTGTTTGCGGTATAGTAGCAGCTCTATATTTTTTTTCTCGATCGAGTTTTGGACATGCCTGACCGGACCCCACAAGTAGGGGTGGAAACGGATCGGATGCGGATCGGATAGTGCTCTGACCACTTCCATTTTCATATTTTCAAAACGAATACGAATCCGAATACGGATGTTATCGGATACGGATGCGGCTAGGATATTGTTCGAATACGGATACGTATCGGATATTTTCTTGATTCGGAACGGATACGAATAATATTAACATATTGCTTAAGTAAATTAGTCGATAGGTATGTGACCTGAAATAATCAACTTGTGACATACAACAATTCAATGATAAATAGGTTTATGAATAAATACTATTGTAATGCATAATAATTTATAAGTTTAATCATATAAAGAGTAAAATTTGACTACTTATTTGGCTTTTATGTTGGATAATTGGAATATTGGGTCTAGAATTTTGAAAATTACCTTCCATGATCTTATTCGGATACGGATATATCCACTTCCATATCCATATTTGTGTAAAAATGTCCTACCATATTTTATTTTTTATTTGTTTAACAAATTCGGATACAGATAATTTCCATATCCATTTTGGTTCGGATGCGGATGTTTCGGATACGAATAGGCATTTTCTCGAATACGAATATCGGATATTTCGGATTATCCGCTACCACTTTCCACCCCTACCCACAAGGCTACACGAGCAAACAAAAGACCTCATCTCTGATTGATGATGTCGTTAAGTCACCTCTTTCTCGAAACCAGCAATGATTAACATCAGAGGGTTATCACTTATCTTGTTGACGCCTCTATCTTTTTTTTCGCGAGAAAAATTTCGAGCTATTTATCTTCAATCATGGCAGTACAACGAATATCAGAAATAATAGAAATTACATCCAGATCCGTAGACCACCTAGCGACAACTACCAGCACTGAAGCGAGCCGAAGGCGCGCCGCCGTCATCGCCCCTCCATCGCCAGAGTCGGGCATAACTTGTTGTAGTAGACAGTCGGGAAGTCGTCGTGCTAAAGCCCCGTGGGACCAGCGCACCAGAACAGCAACCGTCGCAGATGAAGAATAACGTAGATCAGAAAAATCCAATCCGAAGACACACAAACGTAGACGAACAACGACGAGATCCAAGCAAATCCACCAAATATAGATTCGCCGGAGACACACCTCCACACGCCCACCAACGATGCTAAACGCATCGCCAAAACGGGGGCTAGGCGGGGAGACCTTTATTCCATCTTCGGGGAACCGCCGCCGTCTCGTCTTCCTGAGCAGGACACAACCTCTAGCAAAAGTGAAAGAAACGATTAAAAACGGAGCCCTCCCGCCGACCCTTGCCGAGATCCACTGCGCCCCCATGGCCCTAAGGCCATCGGAGAGGAGGCGGACCTGGGCGACGGCGATGGGAGGCAAAAACCCTAACTTTTTGTGGAGAAGAAGGAGGAGGCGGCGGCTACAAAGAATGACGTCAAATCCTGATTTTTTTGCGGAAGTTAACTTTCATGGATATTTGATGCCAGTTACACATACAACATTATTATTCTATCATAGCCTACATGGAATTAAAGTTTATCCCTTTTGGAAGAAGAATAGGGATGATAGTTGACGCCTCTATCTTGTTCTAGACGTCTCTCTAACCCTCATCGTTCCGGATCTAGGGGCGTGGTCATGGCCCCACAAAAACTGTAAAAGTTACTCTCCTAGACACTCCGTCCATTCTTAATATTTTTTCCAGAGTTTTTAATATAAACTACATAATTAACAAAACGAGTGTATCCACACTTTAAACTACGTCTATATACATTCGTATATAGTACATATTGAAATCTCTAAAAATGACTTATATTTAAGACTGATGGAGAAAAAATCTTTCTAGAGGTTTCAATAGAAACTACATACAAATATATATAACTTAGTTTAGAGTGTAAATTCACTCATTTTGCTCCGTATGTAGTTCATATTGAAATAACTAAAATGACTTATATTTAGTAACGGAGGGAGTATTTTTTACTAGTGCAATGTTTATTCACCATATTGATTTAGTGTAAAGAAGATTTTTTCCCCTAGCCACTGGAATGTTGTCCATGGTTGCATTCACACTGCCAAATCCTAGATCCACCGCTACGATTGAGTTGTTGATCTTGGCAGCACCGGTGACTACTCGGTGTAATAAGTACATGTATTTGGAACCGCGTCGGTAATTTTTGTCTTGTTTCGACTATTTGGAATTATCATAACGACTGTAGTTTTAACGGAGCGAAAGTCCACAACTTTTTATAGGTTATATTCCACGCTATAGGATGTATTCTTGTTTGGTCATTACTGCAACACGCGGAGCTGTGAGATTTTATTGTCTCTGGGTACAACCAATAAGAGATCGTAGCATGGGATACATATAACCGGTTTGGATGACAGTTCAATAATAGTTTGTGTAGGCATATTTTCCTATTTATGCCGGTTGTGGCTCGTAATAATTTTAGAATACTACTACCTCCGTTTCTAAATATTTGTCTTTTTGATGATTTTGAATGTATTACCACATACGAATGCATATAAACATATTTTAAAGTGTATGTAGATCCAGTCATTTTGCTCCGTATGCAGTCACTTGTTAGAATCTTTTTTTTTTGCGGGGGACTTGTTAGAATCTTTAGGAAGACAAACATTTAGGAATGGGGGAGAAGTACTTTGATGTTGAAGATTAATAACACTACTAAACCTTTTAAAAAATGGTCGTATGCATCGTGAGATGCAGGGTCGGGTGATCCTGGTCATTTATAAAAAAGAAACTTTTATTTCTTTTCTAGCCGTTGGGCTTCTTCTGTATAATCTCGCAAAAAACAGTACAGGACAAACCATAAAATTTGTAGCAAAAGGTAAATAGATCTATAAAAGTGCTGGTACTGTATCAGAGTACCGTTGTCGCTCGAAACGTGAAAGGTTCAGCTGGGCAGGTGGTACGTACGTCAGCGGCCGTCCCCCGTGACGGCGACGTGATGTGCCGCCACCTGTCCTGTGAGCTACGTGTGCTGACGTACTGTACTACTACTACCAGTACGTTCACGCGAGAGAGAACGGGTCGTACAAAACTTCAGCACGCACGTACGCACGTACGTACAGTGCCAGGCCGTTTGGATTATATAGTAGAGATCGTGTGATGCGAAAAGCGAATCGTCCGGAGGTTCGTTTGGCTCGTAGCACGCGGTGAATTTTCTGCTTTCTCTGTCGAACCTACGCACTGTTCTGGCCTGGCCTGTTGACGGAGAGTTTCGTGGAGACGTAGGGAGCTGCAGGAGCCAGACGCAAGCCCGGACAAAAAAGGAAGAGAACTTGTATCGTGCTGTGGTTTGTTCCATGAGAGAGGCTCGTTTTCTCTGCACTGTTGCGGCGACTGAACCATCAAATCGAAATGGGAAACGACTGTCGACTGTGGTGTTTGTCCTGGTGCCACATGGGTTTGCTCCGCATTTTCGTTGCCGCTCACGAACGGTGAACTTTCACGCCGACTCACGACGACCACCGCAACGACGGATGGTGGTCAGTCGCGAGGCAAATGTCCCCAAGTGACGAGCTCCTTTCACGAGCGTTTTTCTTTTCATTCAGAGAGGAAGTTGGGTTTTTCTTCAGGCAACCGAGAGGAAACTGATCGGCGCGGAAGGAGCGGGCGAGCGCGTGCTCTTGGCCCAGGCCCGCGAGGCGCTCATGCGTGAGGGGGCCCAGGAGATCCGCTTTCTCCAATATCGCAGCACTTGCCTGTACGCGCTATACCTCTCTCTCAGTCTCGGTGGTGCCCCGTGAATTGCATCGCGGGCTACCGATGGTTTTCCTCTCCTCCGGTATGCGCATTTGCTCAGAATCACTGTGTTTTGTCCTTAAAAAAAACATTGATAACTTTATTAATTAAAAACAACTGGTAAATATGTCTGTGCGTTGCAACGAAAGAAAAAACATCATACAGCTTAAAAAATATCAAATGGGCTGCATTGCAACGTACATGAAATAATAAATATGTATTTTAAAACCTATAAAACAATCTATTAATACCTCCCAAATAGCACGATTCTACATTAGATATAAACAAAGCATTACCCCACTTGTACATAGCATGTAAGGACATACACCATGTGACGCCATGTGATTGAAGCAAGATGAAAACTAACATACGTGTCTACTCCAGGGGGTCAACAGACAACTCCATATTGCATTTCGCAGAATTATGCCCCTGCCCATGGCACCTACAACACCAATTCTTCACGGGGGTCTCCATATAAACGCCTCGTC